ATCTACATGAGTCAACCTAAGTGCCTAAGGAGACACTTATGCTTGATGACTTATGCCTGAAATTAGAGTTTAGAAAGCTTATTGATTCCATTTGTTCATTCTTTCATACTACAATTTAAACCACTTTCCTTTAGAATAACCTTTGTTTCTTCTAAACTAACAAATGTTATACTTAATTTCCCTTTGGAATTATGATAAAGTAGCTTATACTTTAAAAGGAGCTTTCTACCCCCTTGCTTTGAAAATAAATATAAATAAAAAGGTGAAATTTTAAAATTATTTTGCAATATAATGTTTAAAGAGAGTCTCTTGTTTGCATCACAAGTCCCGAGGAGAGATTAGGTTTTCTCCAAGAACCATGACCATGTCAATAATTTAAAGTTGTCATGGTGTTTGGAATGTTGAAACACTGTACATACTACATTAAAACCCTTTGCTCCTGGAGGTATATCTCCGGCAGCATCACTAGCCAGCCCAGAACAAAAGTGTCAACCTGGCTAATGTCAGTTCTGTACAAAATGTAGTGTCTGTTGTTGGTAGGCACAGACGACCAATAGCGGCATGGATTCCCCTCCGAGCCGCCCAAGTTCCTCCCTTAGCCCATCCTTCTTGACATTCCTTCCCTGTAGTGAAAAGGATCAGGCCGCAGTAAGACTTTGGCATGGGTTCTATGACAAGTTTATGTTTTATTTTACCTTTTTTGGGGCGGGGTATTGGGGGGGAAGGGAGAGAGGGGTGCTATGCCAGGGTTACTCTGTTCAAAAATAGTTTTTTTTTATTAAAACACTGGTTTTTGGTTGAATAAACCTTTAAATGCTGCCACCCGAACTCACAAACAACACCTGATAAAGTTAGTTTTGTTCTTTAAGCTACCTATAAAGACCAATGGTTAAAAACACAATTAGAGTACAAAAAACATTTAACACACAGACACATATTAGAACAGAACACAATATCGCCTTAAATGGTTAACATTTGTGAAGTGGAAATCAATCAATAAATTGACCTTTTGTGTATCTGCCCCTGGCCAAAGAAACAGTGCGTGCACGCTCCCTGAAGTAATTCACACCAGACACAAGTTTCAGGTTGATGAAAAACCTGAGGAATGTTTATTCAGAGGGGACGGCAAGTCCCTTTTAAAGCAAAATTACATCATATGCATTGTCAGAGATAACATGAAATAATACATCATTAATTGGTTAGGTGTTAAGTGGTTCTCTTAATGTTCTGCCTACAAGGGATGATGTCACTGGCATCATGAGGGTCTCCCCCAGATTCCAGCGCCATCTTGTTACACGAGGTAGTTAGTCGATGTCAAAGGGGGGGGGAGAAGAAAGCTCCTAGCGGCCATTTTGATTAATCACATATAAGTAGAATAATGCTGATTATAGTTAGATGAGTAAATAGACATTTTACTAGCTAAAAATTGGGTTAATATCTTATTTCCACAACAATTAGTAAGCCCGGACATGTGCTAGTGGTGTAACTAGCCCCGGAAACAAAATTGCAGATATTTCTAATTTCTTTCAGGAAAAAAATCTCTGCACCTACAAATTTATTCCTCCATAAGCACTTCTAAAAGCAGAAGTGATCATAGAGGCTTAAATAATACTTTAATTTTGTGTGACGGGTTAAACAAGAAGTAGTTATTTTGAGGCACTCATGAATATCTTGTTTCTTTAGAGTCCGTGCTAACATGCTTTGCACAAGACTTATGCTAAACTTGTTTCTGACAGTTTGTCTGAATCAAATGTCTTTTAATTTGCACCCAGACTAATCAGTGTTCTTGAAGAGAGACCACTAGATGGGAGGGCAGGGGGGTTGTTGAGACCACTAAGGGAAAGATAGAGGGAGGGAGGAGAGATCACTAAGGAAAGATAGAGGGAGGGAGGAGAGATCACTAAGGAAAGATAGAGGGAGGGAGGAGAGATCACTAAGGGACACTGGGGAGGGGGGAGGGAGAGAGACCACTAAGGGACACTGGGGAGTGAGACCACTAAGGGAAAGATGGGAAGAGACCACTAAGGGACTAAGGGAAAGATGGGGGGTGAGAGACCACTAAGGGACATGGGGGGGGGATAGACCACTAAGGGATAGATGGGGGGGATAACTCGAAGGAATGGGGAAGGATTACTCTAAGGGACATGTGGGGGGAGAGACCACTAAGGGACGTGGGCAGGGAGAGACCACTAAGGGAAAGAGGGAGGGGATAACTCTAGGACCCTGAGGGTGGGGGGGTCCTAAGGATGCTATAGTGTCAGGAAAACAAGTTTGTTTTCCTGACATTATAGTGATCCTTTAATTCCTGAATGTCAGAGAACTGAGCAGTGAGACTGCAGGGGTATGGTCTGTACACCAAAAGTTGTTTGTCCATTTAATTTAAAAGACCATAATCACTACAGTGCACTTTAGAACAGTTTGCCTTCTTACCTGGGATTCACTGGGCGCAACTTCCTTCACTTCTTCTGACGGTGAGCAGGAAGATTCTAAACAGGAGCATTCATTAGCTAAACATACAGTGCAGAGAGTTTCCGGCTTTTTGATGGAAGTAGTGGAGGCAGGGAGCATCAAAGTGTTTTGACTACTTACAATGTGGGAAGGTCTGTTGTGATTATGATGCTTGGAGTATTCCTTTACTATAAGGTCATTATTACTTTATTCAATAACCAACATTCAATTCATATATAATTAAATATAAGACTATGGTTACTTTATTTTCTAACCACAATTATAACAGAATGGCATGTAAATTGTGCAACAAGAAATACAAGAAACTAGGAAACGGTTGTGCCTTGTCCAGATGACGGGCACAATCTAAATTTGAAATAAATGGTTGCTCTGTTTGGCTTAACACAATAATTAATAATAGTATTTCTAAAACTAAAGAACATTTTTCTTCTTAATTAAAATGTCATCCTTTATTCCCATAATATCCTCTACATACGTAATCCTTGAAGCGTTTTAGAGGCAGGATTGTTCTAAAGCAGGGGTAAGCAACCTTTTAGTAGTCCTTTGGCGAGCCGGTATTATTTATTTAAATTGAGGTGTGTATGTTGCCATATTTTACTTGTGTTATTTATGAGTGCTACAGTTGCTTTGTAACATTGTATTTGTGTGTAAGTGGACTGTTATACTGTATATGTTCATGAGTAGTTTCTGCTGTTGTGTATGATACCTATGTGGACTGTGTATGTGGGCTGCTTGTATAATTGTGTGTGGATGATACGTCACGTTGTGTGTTTGGTGGTGTGCATACGTGTGGGGCTGCTTTTGCTATAGCATGTGAGAGGCTGCTAGTGGGGTTTTGTGCGTCTATGTGGATTGTCAGTGGTGTGTTTGTGGAGACTGTGTGTATGTATTTGTATGTGGGCTCTTTGTATTATTTATATGAGAGGGAGGCTTATTCTGCAGCTCTGTGTATACCTAGCAGTGTGTGTGACTTCCATGGGGTCCAGTGGGGACCGGTCAGGCCAGGTGTAGGTCAAGAGCAGGAGCTGCAATAGCTTCTGTGGGCTGCTCTATTTCAGTGCGGATTCCTGTTTACAAGTGCTGGGAGGACGTGATCCGAGACCACTTCCTCTAAGTGCTGTAATGCGTGTGGAGAGGACTGTCCCTCCCTACCTGCAATCAATGCTCACTTTGCAATAGCAGATATCTGAAGACCCACTGAGACCCGTGACAGGTCAGAGCCTGTTTGACTCTGGCAGCCTTGAGTGATGTGCAAATGCACCTCGAGTGCTATGCATAGGTTGCTGACCACTGCTCTAAGACATTTATTCACTAAATACAGAATATAACCCAGCAGTGGCTGCAATGCTGTTCACTTGCAAAATCAAAGTTTTGCTCTTTTAATCCATTCAGGTATTCATAAAAGCTAAATATGAAAACTTCACTCTAAGCATCCCTTAATTTTTAAGCCAACCTAATGCAAACCCAGTCCCCTTATTTTTATTGCAACATAGAAATTAGGCATACGTGTCGACTGCAGCAATGAGATGCATGGGAAAATAGCAGCAATAGCAATCCATTTGGCTCATTCTGGTTACCATTTCATTGTTAGTAAACAGCATATTTGGCAAATAGTGAACAGACTCCTTGGGTAAGAGTTATTTGATAACTTGAAATGTCAGTAAAGCAGCATTACTGCATGTTTATGCATGTAACCTATCCATATACATCTACAATATCAGAATGTCTCTTTGATAAAGCACACAGACTTGATATGTTGGAAGAAGCTCCTGCCTATTGTATTACTCTTTTAAAATAACATCTGGAATAAAATGTGAGAATATTTTAATTTGTGGATTCCATTATAATTTGTCAAGGAAGTGTGTCATTGGTTGGGGAAGTAAGGCCTTTTATACTTCATAGCAGCAGCATTCAAATAGAATGTAAGCGCAAAACTAAATGAGTTGGCTCTGCCAATAAAATTGTCTGTTACATATACATGCTCTATAGCTGTGGTTCCAAAACCAATCCTCAAATTACCCCTACCAGTCCTTCATTTAGGGATTACCCGATTGCGTTTAAGGTGGTTTGTTTTTTTTCTTCTAAAAACACCTTAAACATTGCTGGGTAATCCCTAAATCCTGGACTGGTAAGGGTGCCTTGAAGACTGGTTTGGGTACCATTGCTCTATAGTAAGTTTGAGAGTAGGTCCTTAATTACTTTTCTGGACTATTATATTATTTGGTGGCACTGTGTCATATACAGGAATTCCAGAAGGCACATTTTATTTTATCTACTGTTTAAATTTTGACTTTATTATGGGTTGTTTTTTTGCGATGGAAGACATCATCTGTATTTAGAAGTGAGAAAATGTTTAATCTGAATGAAAACAGTCATAAAACATGCATTAGTCTCACTCATAAACATGTTTTATAGATGTTTTTCAAATAGAATTTGTAAAATCACATGTAACATAACTAAAAATAATAAAATACAACCATAATTTCATATATTTTTTCTGAAAGATTTAAAACTGAGCTGAAGAGTTACTATGAAAACGTATGCAAACAAAGTATCTACAGCCTAGTTTTCTTTTTACATTTCTAAAACAACTCCAGGTACATAGCAAGTCACAATGATTTTAAACAAATTACAAAATTAGCAGCCAATCAGCTGCATGCTTAGCTATATGCCCCTCTAAATAGAACATATAAATTAATGTCTCTTTACACTTGTCTCTGTCTCATGTCTCTTTACACTTTCAAAAGTCCATAATGCCTTAGATGAATGATTTTTCTGTGAAATGGCACATAGCAATTTGCCAGTTTTGCATTTCGTTGTTGTAGGAAGCTCTGTATTTTAATCAGAGATGACAATTGGATCTAAAGAAATGCAGAGCTGCATGGGTCTCCAAAGATGTGGTTTTCTATATGAGGTGAAACACAAAATCAAAGTGATAATAACACAATGATTTCATATTATAAGCTCATTTCAGCTCAAGTACTATAGCTATCACATCAGGGTCATCCTTTTCATTGCAGGCACCCTGTGTGATACTTACTAAAGTTATGAGTGACATGCCGCGCCCCCCTCCCCGTAGTGTTTCATAGATACACTAAAAATTAAAGACATGCATAAATTCAATTATGATTTTTACAAAAGCTGCTGATCTCTAACCCTCCCATTCTAACTCCGCCCAGACTTTCTGTGGCTATCCAATCACAGACTTCCCATTGCAGCTCAATGAGAAGTCTATGCAAGTCAGGTTGCTCTAGACAATTGCTGCCTCTTGGGATTAGCTCTACTGAGCTAAACAAACCAGGACGTAACAGGACTCTTTATCTGATTGACTGCCAGGGGGTATAAGAAAGTTAATGTATTAAAAAAAAGCCAATTTCTATTGAAAAATTCACTTTTTGTAAAATGAAAAATAGAGGATATACTCTTCACACATAAAAGACTGACGTACTAAAGGGGTCTGGAGTGTCCCTTTAATGGCTAACTGAACTTAACAGGAACTGTAATTAATACCATCTTTAAAAGTCAGACGTAACAAATGTTTATAAAATGTAATTATCAAAATACCCAAGCATGTTTATGGGTTGATTGAGCATTTTAGGATTTGTATTTCATTTTCACAAACTCTGTTAGATGATATTAACTTTTCGTCTTCTAATTCAAAATTTTCCCTACACTAAATATTTATTTATTTTAATGGGGTGGGGAGGAGCAGCACAGCAATGGGGCATTCCATATAGAATCAACAAAGACATCAGCCTCATATTCTTTTATTTACAAAATTAAATAAAGAATTGGCATACAGAAAGGGCCACCTAAGGTCAATCACGTCACCTGAATCACTAAAATATTAAATGTTATCTTTAACATTTAATATTTTAGCGATTCAGGTGACGTAATTTAGGCAGGCCGTGACTAGCCATCCAGCAAACTGGGCCGTGGAAGCCAAATCTCCCCTGCTGGTCCATGCAGAGTCAGCACTCTCCAAGCATTGTGTGCCTTCACAGTCAGTTAGAGAGATCAAATATCTCCTTTACTGGCCCGCTGGCACTTTAATGTGCAGCGTGAGGAGAGAGGAGGACCTGGAGGCTGAACGTTTCTCCAGCGAACTGGGCAATTTGGATATTTGCCATGGCAACACTCCCAAGGAGCTTGCGAGAGGAATGATCTGAGCCTGCAGCCAGAGGAGCTACAGGCTAGATTAACTAGTGCCAGGGCTAGTGCCACCGGACCACTGTGGCTTGTAATGGGAAATATGTTTGTTTTAAAAAAATAAAATTCCAGCCCCCCCACACACAATAAAGCCATATGCCACCGAACACAGTCACACACTGCACCGCAAATATACACTGCAAGGACTAATGAAAGTATTTAGAAAATTGGGCTGACTAGATGGGCCACATCGTTTTCATCTGCCATCACATTCTATTTTTCTATGTTTCTAAATGTGCTGCAGGGACTCCTGATCCACCTCCCTGCACTTTCACAGTCAGTGTGAAGTGCAGGTATTGCTGTACTCAGACAACATAGCGAGCAACCTATGTTTGCAGAATATGCTGTGCAAACTCACTTTGTGTGTCAAAGAGGCAGAAAAAGTGCTTATTACCCCTACACATGGTACAAAATAGCCAAAAAATGATCCCACGCTAAGGTTCGAAATAGGGAAAAAAATTTGGTTGGGTTCGGCATTCCGAAATTTGGCCCTTCGGCAATTCGGTTTGGCACTTCGACAGGAGTATGGTTAAGAGTAGGGTTAGGAGTAGGCTTAGGGTTGGGTTAGGATTAGGGTTAGTGTTAGGGTTGGGTTAAGGTCAGGAGTAGGGTTAGGGTTAGGAGTATGGTTAGGGCTAGGGTAGGGTCAGGGTTGGGTTAGGGTTAGGAGTAGGGTTGAATTGGGGTAGGGTTAGGAGTAGGGTTAGGAGTAGGGTTGAATTAGGGTTAGGAGTAGGGTTAGGGTTGGGTTAGGAGTAGGGTTAGGTTAGGGTTGGGTTAGGGTTAAGAATAGGATTAGGGTTAGGAGTAGGGTTGGGTTAGGAGTAGAGTTCGGCACTTTGGAAATTCAGCACTTCGGACATTTGGAAGCATCCGGATGTCCGAATGTCCAAAATTCGTCCGAATTTTTATTCGGACAGAACCAAATTGCACATGTCTAGTTCAAAATTTGCCTATTCAAATACTCCAGGGTGTATTCTTGAAGAAGTGGTATGCGTTTGTAGGGTAGTTTGAATAATCAACTGTCTCAACTACTCCAGAATGGGACATGGACTCAGCGTGAAACTTCAAAGTTTGTTAAAAACTGAATGGCTGTGTCTCAAATGTGCCCCTTTAACATCTACATATACCTGGTAAAGGTGCATACAGGGGTTTTCCTGTACTCAGGCGACATATCTGAGCAACCTATGAAGTGTTATACTTCCATAGCACATATAAGGTTTGCAAAATATACAGTAGATGCTCACTGTGTGGGTCAAAAATTCAGAAAAAATGCTTATTACCACTACACTTGGTACAAGCTAGCGAAAAAATTATCCTACGCTAAGGTTCAAAAGATGTCTTGGTGGGATGTCTTCTTTAAGAAATTGTTTGCATTTATGGTGTAGTTGGAATATGTCGCCTGCTAAAGTGCTCCAAAATGGAACACAGACCCATCAACACCATCTATGAAAATTCACACTTAAAAACGTTCAGGTTCGTACAGATCATTACGTTTTTTGGACCCCGGACCCGAACACGGACATTTCACTGCAACAGCATGTGACCCAGCTAGTAGGGGCATGTCTATTAAACAGTGAGCAATCTGTGGCTGCTCACTGTTAAAAAATAAAAGCGGCGGGTGGGGGCCCTAAATATCAATAAGGGGGGACCTACTGTATTTTAAAGGGTTTTCCCTATCCACATTTGTTTGCAGGGCACTTGTCCTACTCTTACCCCCATTTTACTTCCTTTTGCAGCCCTCTAGCCCTATCCAGGACGTTTTTAGAGGCATTTTTGTGCCCAAAAGTTCGGGTCCCCATTGACTTCAATGGGATTCGGGTTCAGGGTCAAGTTTGGGGTCAAGTTCGAGCCCGAACCCGGACTTTTTTTCAAAGTTCAGCCGGACCCGAACATCCAGGTGTCCGTTCAACTTATATGGTATTGTAGATTCACAGAATAGTGCCAAAGGCACACTGAACACAATATGGTGTCCTGTATATGGAATAGCACACAGCAGCTCTACGAAATACACATTAAGAAATCCTTGTTATATGTGTAAATGCCAAAAAAGAAAAAGAACATCAATTTTACTCCAATATTTAGCAGAGATTGGCGATGAAATAAAAAGTGTCAAAATAACCTTGGGTAAATAGCCTGTACTTTATATAAATATATACTTTTGTGTGGCAATTTAGTTTTTTGTGGTGGCTACTAAACTTACAAGACACACATACCAACTTCTAAAATTGTTTATTTTAGTCCTTGTATTTTGTGACCTGTAACTTTCAAAATAAGCTGAATTCCTATACACATATTATGTACTTTATAAATCAAGACACATAAATGAATTTATTTTAAATTACTTTTCCTAAGCTCGACATATTATGCACATGTTATTATTTCATAAATTGTGGGAATTTTTTTATTTATTCTTTTCATATTTTGGCATTTTTTTTATATAATTAATGAGAATGTGTCTATGTATATGTGACATTAAATTAAAGCCCTTTTTGTCCTCTAAAAAAATAGTCTATATTATGCGTTGGTGCAATAAATTAGAGAGATGCAAATTGTGGTTGAACACAAACAGCAAAAAATTCAAAAATTGCTTGTGTCCTTAAGGGTAAGGCAAGCTTCTGAAGCTGTGTCCTTAAGTGGTTAAACATGTTCTGACTTGCATATCATTACAAATTTAAATTTTGTGATCTTTGCTGAGTGAAGATTGCTCCAATGCACCTTGAAGTGGACTGTCACTTGCACATGCTGTTTCCATATGTGCAAGTGACACAGAAATTAGTACATTTTCTTGTATGTTTTTGTAATACGTTAAGTAGTTAAGGACATGGTAATGTAAGAAAAAAATCTTTGATCTGTTACATCATGGATGAGATAATTTTTTCCCAGACTTACAAGAAGATTCTAAAATTTGTGATAAGTACAATAAATTGCTTGGTGAGATGAATAATAAGCAACAGTTTGAAGGGAGCACTGATTTTTCAGAAAAAGACGACGGTTGTGAGATTTTAGCAGTTAATAAACTACAGATATCATTAGATGATAGTTTAGTTACGGTAAAACGCCAGTCAAGCAGAAATGTATGTCAGAAATTAGTTATTATAAAAAAAAAAAAATATATATATATATATATATATATATATAAAAAGAACTGCAAAAAATGAATGAATCTATTGGATGGCTGCCCACTTCCTTAAACTAAACTTGGCCAAAACTGAAATTCTGATTTTTCCTCCCTCAAGTGTTGTTACTCCTGTGTCTGTCTCCCTCCAAGTCAACGGTGCTACCATCAGCGCCACCACGCAGGCTCGCTGCCTAGGTGTTCTCATTGACTCCGACCTCTCCTTCAAGCCTCATGTTCAGTCTATCGCCAAATCCTGTCATTTCCATCTCAAAAACATTGCGCGCATCCGCCCCTACTTAACGCCAGATGCGACTAAGGTGTTGGTCCATTCCACTGTCCTTTCTCGCCTTGACTACTGTAATCCGCTTCTCTGTGGTCTAACGTGCTCCCAACTAGCGCCGTTACAGTCCATAATGAATGC